TTGAGATGAATGCTCGCGGTATCTCAAATGTTTGAACCGTAATCTAATTGAATTATTGCCGACCGATTTGCCCCAAATAACCGCTAGTTACCAGAGTTCAAGCCATCAACATTCAAATCCGACTCGTTCAATAGCCGAAATAATGGGAGATGAGGGGGAGAAAAAAGTATTTGAACTTTTGGCTAATAACAAAAAAATCAAGTGGGAAAAATTAGTGCGGAACTGACAAGAAATTGAAGGTTTGCAAATAGATATTTATGGAGAAACCAAAGAAAACATTTACTTTATTGAAGTGAAAAATTGAAGCGAAGCCTTTTATTATTCGCCCACCGAAAACTTTCACCACCAGCAAAAAAATTGGGATCAACAAATTACTCGCCAAGAAAAAATTGCGGAGGATTTTAATTCCAGCAAAAAAATTGTTTATCTGGTCAGTTTTCCCACCGGTGAATTGACCCATGATTTTAAGGTTTTCCTTAGCCAAAAGGGGACCATTGAATTACTAGTGGCTCACCATGACAAGGTTCACACTAAAACTTGGAAAACTGAATATAATATTCTACGAGTAGATGAATCAATTGCGGAAAAAGAAAAATAGATGAAAATATTTTGTTGGACAAAGATTATTAAGGAAATTAGGAGAGATAATCAAAAAAAATGGTACAGGTTAGCCAATAAAGAAAGTGTTGCCGGGAGCATAAATAATAAACCGAAAGATTTCTAATTAGTGAATACTAATTTTTTTATTTTTATTCAAATTTTGCCCAGTTTATATCTAAGCATCCTCCAAATGATAACTGGTTTTTTGCTGAGAAGCAGAAATTAATAATTTGTGGAGATTTTTCCGATTAGTAGCAAAATCAAGGTCAAGATAAGGATAACGGATAATAACGACGAAATTATTATGAGAGTGGTTGCCGTTCGTTTGGCAACTGTCCTGATTTTTTTTCAAATACGATATTAGCATTTCTCGAACTTGTCTTTTATAACGATTACGTTCAACCGCCTTTTTTAGCAGTTTTTTGGGTGTACTAATGCCAAATTGACAATTATTTAAATTATTGGCTAGAAAAAAAACCACAAAACTAGGATTTACCAGCTTCTTTCCTTTCATGATTATGGTTTGAAATTGCCAATTTTTTCGTAGACGATGAGGTCTTCACAGCATCAGGCTTATATATTAAAATTATTTAATAATGAAACGGATCTACCAACCCAAGAAAAAAAAAAGATTGAGAAAGCACGGATATCTGGCTCGTAGTGAAAAAATTTTGCAGTCTCGGCGTCGGAAAGGTCGCTGACAACTGAGTGTAAAAAAAACCTTAAAATATATATCCTAGTCAAATATGGGTAGTAAAGAAAATAAAAATAAGAAATTAGAAGTAAAGAGGTTAGATAAAAAAACCTTTCAGAGAATAAAAGAAGAATTTAAACAGTATCAAAAATATTTATTTGGATTAATTGTTGTATATATCGTTTGTTATTTTATTTGGTTTAATGTAGCCGAAGGGGTTGGCGAGTTTTTATATTCACAAGGATACGGCAAAAATAGTCGAACTTTAGTCATTGGTATTGCTATATTACAAGGATTATTATTTAGTTTGGATGGTTTTGTAACGGCTTTATTAAAATCGCCTTTTAATCAAATGTGTTATGCTATTAACAAGTCAGAAGGGATACCATATAAAAAGAAAAGGCATATAATAACATTGGCTACTAGATCTAACGAGCACTGTAAGGAAACACTTAAAAAAATGGGTATGTTGACTATTGTGATTGAGATGATAAGAATTTTTATTATGGGAAAAGGTATTATTGATAAAGATTTAGAACCTCATGGTAGTTGACTGCTTTTGAGTTATCTTATTCCCCTAATTTTCACAGCATTCGATATGATGTCAATTGCCCGGGAATTAAAAAAAATTGAAAAATTACAAGTTGACAGACATGCTAAAAATAAGCCCCTTGCCAAACAGTCTGATTAGAACTCGTTTTGCCCCCAGCCCGACCGGAGAATTACATATTGGTGGAGCCCGAACGGCACTTTTTAATTATCTTTTTGCCAAACAAAATGACGGTCAGTTTATTCTCCGTATTGAGGATACCGACCTAGAAAGAAATCGAGAAATATTTGTTAATAATTTATATGAGGATTTACTATGGCTGGGATTAAAGCCTGATGAATCGATTTTTCAAACCGGCCAACATGGTCCTTATCGGCAAACGCAAAGATTGGATGTTTATCGGAAATATATTGAAAAGTTATTAGCCGAAAAAAAGGTCTATTATTGCTTTTGTTCTCCGGAGGAATTAACCCGGGAAAGAGAAAGATTCAGCCAAGAAACTAAACGAAGCAATTATCGATATTCCCGGAAGTGCTTACAATTAAGCGAAAAAGAAATCCAGTCCTTTCTCCACCAAAAAAAGCCGTATGTTGTGCGCTTAAAAATCCCCTCCGCTAAAAATTACTCTTTTACTGATTTAGTGCGAGGGGAAGTTAATTTTCGGAGCCAAGACATTGAAGATTTTGTGCTTCTTCGCCAAAATGGCATTCCTAATTTCAATTTTGCGTGTGTGGTTGACGACCGCTTAATGAAAATTAGCCACGTTTTACGAGGCGAGGAGCATTTATCCAATACTGGCAAGCAATTAGTCTTATACGAAGCCCTGGGATGAGAACCACCTCGGTTCGGCCACATCTCAATAATTCTTAACCAAGAAAAAAAAAAACTTTCCAAACGGGACTCTGAAACTAGTCAATGGCAACTAATTAGCCAATTACGAGCCAAAGGATATTTGCCGCAAGCAATTGTTAATTATTTGCTCCTTTTAGGTTGACATCCGGGCACCACCCAAGAAATTTTTTCTTTGCCCGAAGCAATTAAGGAGTTTAAATTAACCGGATTACATGCCAGCGGAGCCGTCTACGATTTAGAAAAACTTAATTGATATAATAATTACTATATTCAGCAATTAGGAGAAAAAGAATTTGCCGAGTATACTTGAAAATTTTTAGGCAAACAAAATATCGGCTGATTAAAATCCGAAAAAGAAAAAAAAGAATGGGTAAAAGAAATCTCTTGGTTATTCCGGCCACAACTGAATTATTTTGCGGAATTAATTAATTTAACCACTTATTTTTT